CCTTTTTTTTTTTTTTTTTTTTTTTAATTTTGCAACATCGATCACAAAATTTGCATATTCTTCTATACAAAGTAAAATTTAGTTTTTTTTTTAATATTTATTTATCTTTTAATTAATTCTATCTTGGAAAATAATAGGTAAACACCTATATATATACTGCTTATTAACACTTGCAGTACTTATAAACTCGACATTATCATCATACCGAAAGTAAAGCACAAATGATTGAGGAACACAAATATAACAAGTACTAAGATACAACAAGCATTGTTCAAATCAAAGAGGCACTTAATAATGTTGGCAAAGACGTACAGTACACAAAGATAAGGGTGGTGGTTTAAACTAACACGCGTCCTTAGACGTGTCCCTCTTGATTTTCATTTGAGTTGGATTGGTTCGGTTCTATTGATGATGTGGGGGCTTTATTATCGGTGGTACCCATTTCCATGGCTTCTTCTTTTGTTGTTGCTGATTTTGGATCACCTTTGTTATCACGGTATATAAAATACAGTATTAGTTGCGTTGTCCCCAACGCAGAACCCACGCCGTTCGGTACCTACAATACAAAACAAGCCATGCACGTCCAGTTATGAGTCTTTGTCAATAATGGTCTTGTCCAAAAGAATCTGCACCAATCAAAAATTAATTCGATCCAAATTATTAAAAGAAAATTGAATTCATCCATTTTATAAAAACACTTTACGTATTCAAAGTGAATAAACAACCATATTTAAAAAATTTGATGCATGATCATGCTTGTTTGTCACTCCCAAAATGCAACTGAAAAAGGGTATTCAGAAATCATATCCACTGATCCAATTAAAAGCGATAAAGTGATAACATGTGAGTGTGACTTACTGTCACAAATAGGTCATGACCTAGCAGACCGAAGATAAACCAAGAAGTGCCGCAGAGAAACACAAATAGCGATAGGAAGAATGGCATAAACTCCACGCTCTTGCTTTTGATCACTAGCCTCTGCACACACATACGACAAAGTTAATTTTATTAAAAATTCAAATTATTTCTTGGAATAGAGGGGATAAAATTCTAAATAATAATAAATTTTATTAAAAATAATGTCAGTGTGTTCAAAAGTGTAAAACCACTGCTAACTATATATTAGCTAGCAAAAAGTAGACAAAGATTCTTTGACAGAATTTCATGTGTCCTATAAATTTGTGCACCGCTACCACTATTTTAATGGAAATCATCGTTAATAACTAATTTTGATTGTTGACAAATTTATAATTTTAACTTATAGTGCATATTGTCCTCCTTCACTATTTAAAATTACTCAGATCAGTTGTTAATAAATAATGGTTAAGAAATTACAAAATCTAACTAAGTCTCTCTTAAAATAATGATGGACAGAAAAGGTAATCTGAAAAGTAACTTGCCAAAACAGGAAAAGAAGAAAATGAAAAAAACATGGCCAAGCTGGGCATGTCATTATGACATGATAAGGATCCAGGAAATGAATTTTTTTAAAAAAATATATTATTGGTACCAAATATTTTTTAATGATTAATTTTCAAATTAACATATTTAATAAGGTTTTCGTTTTTAACCATATTTTTTCATCCTAAATCCAAGATCTAATCTGTTACGATTAAAACCAGTTTTTTTTTTTTTTCTTTTTTAAAGAGAAGAGGAATGAATAATACACATGGAATTTTATACAAAAAGTTTGAACATAGCTTACCATTATTGAGAGTGGTGAACCATACATGATGATGGAAAATATGGCAGCAGCGAAGCCACAGAAGATCTTTCTAGCTTGGCCATGCAGTGCTAACAGGGACACCAAAACGACACCAGAGAACACTGCTACGACAAACGAGAAAAGACCAAGAACTTTAGCCTTCTCTTTCTTCGGTGCGAACAAGACGAAGATCAAAACGTATATAGTTTCAATCACTGCCCCTGTGCCATTGATAACTGTCACAAGTATGTTGTTTGGAGACACAAACGGCAAACCATACCTGTGGATGCCAAAATCAATACAATTAGACCATGAAAAATCAAAACTTTACTAGTACACAATTGACCCACATGAAATTTTCTTTTCCAAATTGAGCTAATTACAAAATAAACAAAAGGAGCCAAAAGGGTCGAAATTATTTGCAGTCCTCATTGTAATTTTTACATATAAAAAAAAAATAGATAAAAAAGTACCGCATATAGCTAGATCGAACAGAGTATAACTTCTAAGCCAAGATTTGACAAAAAGGTCGATCAATCCGTGCATGCAATTAGAAAACAAGAAAAAAGGTTTACCATGTTGTATGCCTCTTCCCCATATGAAATTTTCATGAAGATGATGCAAAGTAGAGGGAAATGGAAGAAATGAGAACAGAATCCAACACAAAATCAACGATTTTGACTAAAGATAAAGCAAAAGAATTGAAAGTAGTGAGGGAGAAAAATTAAACATGCCAAGAAGAAAGAAGACAGTTGAGCAGTGTCATGGGGTAAGGAACGCCCGAGAACTTCTCTGTGGATTTGTTCACGATGATTCTCCTGAATGTGACTCTACAAAAACCAAACTTGTAATGAGTTTTGCTCAAATTGGTACAATACACACAACACAAGCACACAAGAAGATGATTTTATGAGTATCATAAAGAATAAGGGGGCAGCTATGAGATGCATACGTTGGAGCCAAGAAGAGGAACAAACCAGAACCATTCCCTGCACCACGAAAAGAACATTGAGAAACCAAGAACCGTAGACAAGAAAGGCAAGCAAATGCAACCATTGTGAAGGAAAATAAGAGAAACTTACCCAATATCCCGAACAAGGTATGCGCAATACCCATGATCTTGAAGCTTTGATATTTGAGAAATATCAGCGAGAGTTGAAAAAAAGGTATAAAAGTGGTCTAAAGAACGAGTGGTTTCTTTAGAACACTAAGTAACTCATAACTGTAACAAGCGGTAGTTTGCACAGGTTATAGCAGGACTTCAGGACTTATATATGGTATATATACAGGAAAATAATGGAAGAATATTGAATGCTAACTTCTTTTGCCAATAAATTAAAGAAAAATAATATATTTGATTTTGATCAATTCTGAATATTATTTTTTATTATTTAAATATTTAAGAATAGAATAGTCCAAAAATTATACACACAAAAATAAGATATTTTTTTTTTATAATATGTATATATTTAAATATAATTTTAATATTTAAATTTTAAAATAAATTTATTTTAATTGTCTCAAGTTTAAAAATAGTCTTTTTAATATTTGTAATTTCAAAAAAATCTTATTTTAATTTTTATATCCAAATTTTATTAGTTTAAATATTGTAATATAAAATTTATCAATTGATGTTTCTATTAGTAAAAATATTACATTAAGTCTAACTCATGATGCATAATTGTTTTAATCCTTCACTTTCAAATATATTATTGGTAGCTTGAGATATATTAAATTAATGACTTGAAAGACTAAAATAATATTTTTGAAAATTATAAGACTAAAGATAATAATTTTAAATTTGAAAGACCAAAATAAATTATCTTAAATTTGAGGACCGAATCATCAAAAACATATTTAAACATTTTATATATTAATCTATAAACCCTATATATATATTATCTATATTCTAGTGGGTTGAAGCCCTTCCTTCATCTATATGCATTTTATTTTTAAAAAATAATAAATTGTCTATCCAACTAATTCCTTATTGGTATAGATAATCTATTTTTTTACGCTAAAACTGTTAATTATAATTATTTCTCTCCATATTCATTAATAAAGTGCATATTATGGCAGTCTAATATTGTAAAAAAATTATCAATGATTTGTTTACTTATGTCTTTTTTTTTTTTTTTTTAATACTACAATTAAAAAATATATAAAATATTACACGTTATATATGCCTTCAATACATGGAAAGATATAATCATTCAACGTAATATTGATGATTGTATGACTAAAACTGGGGCTGCCTTTGCCTCTGTCAAAGCAGAAGTCCTTAGCTTATTATTTAGGACGTGTACTTATTATCTGTTGGTATTTATATGCCATTCAGAATAATTTAGATTTGATCTCATGCCCGTTTATAATTTGTAGTGACTGGATTAAGATAATACTTGTGCTTGTTCAGCCTAAGATGAGTCTTTGCTACAATACAAAAAAAAAAAATATTAAGCAACATGTATTAATGGTATAAACAGATGGAATGTCCAGATTTGAAATTTAGTGGACCTGACAAGTTGGGAAGGAAATAATATTTTGAACACCTACACAATTCCAAGTTTTGCCTCGCTCCCTGCAGGGAGTCATCATGCATGGACCTTTCTCTTTTCCTTCATATATTTATCCTTTTATGTGTTATCTCTAGACCAGATGAGCTAACTTGAGAATCAATAATCAATGTATTCCATTTGACAGGAATGTGTTCCAGTTATCATATCAGATCAAATAAAAATGCCGGCCATTTCAGAATGTCATTGATTATAGTCAGATATCAATAAAATGACCATCCAATGGAATAGGTCCTGAACTATTACAGTACTTGGAATCTATACTAGGTTGAAATTCACCTCCCAGTTCCACACACAATACCCCCTTGCATATTTTAGCTTTAAATTAATTTATTTGTTCTATGCAGATGAAGAAATAATAGCTCGTGGTCGACAAGTTAGGTGCTTGTGGGTGTATGATTCAGATTCAGAATATTGTTTAGAAATGCGCGGAATTATGTGGGAACTCTAGAGGAAAGTAAGGCAATTTCACCGCTCAGCTGAAACATTTTGGTTGCACAATGGATCTATTGTAAACAGAAACTTGGTCGAATTTTCCAAATGGGAACTCCCTGTGCCTTTGCCTCGATAACCGGAGAGATATAGTTAATTTCGTGTATAAATTAATTTTTCTTATACCTGTTATTCCAATATTGTTTCTTTACAAGCTCATATATTTGGTGTTCTTAAACATAACAAAATTTATTAATTGCTCTTGATTGTGATAATCATCTACAATTATAAACAAGAGTGTCATCAAAAGAAAATAAAATTATAGTTCACCGTGGGTCCATACTCTCAGATACTAAAGATTTTCTTTAATTTACATAAAAATGGTATTTTATTCATAAGTTAGAGGAACTTGGTACCTCCCAAACCATTTGCAAAGTTTCAAAACTAAATAACCGTTAAAATACAATAGGCTACTGTTTCTTGCCATTCTCAATTAATATACTATATACCGGCACAACTAATATACTAAATTAACATACTAGTGTTGTTACAAAAATACTACAAAAATGAACAAGAAAAATAGCACATAACACAGTTGGTGATAACAGTGCTATTGCATCTAGGCTTTTTGATTATGATAATTAAAAATTTCATAGGTTGACATATAATTAGGTGGGTTTGGATTTGACTGATATAAGTCATGTAAGATCTAATCAAAGTTAGAAGACAAGTGTTGACCACAAAAATTGGAGTCCTTAGCAAAACATTTCTTACTTTACTCAACAATATAGTTCGGATTCAATACTCGATCAACACTTGTCTTCCAACTTTTAGTAGATCTTACATGACCTATATCAATCAAATCCAAACCCACCTAGTTATATGTCAACCTATGAAATCATCGCATTTAATTATCGTGATCGAAAAGCTAAGAAATAACAATATTGTTATCACCAGCTTTGTTATGTACTACATTTCTTGCTCATCTTTGTAGTATTTCCATAGCAACATTAGAATGTTAATTTAGTATATTATTGGTGCTAGTATATAATATATTAATTAAGATTGGCAAAAAAACAATAACATATTCTATTTTAACAGGCATTTAGTTTTGAAATTTGGCAAATGGTTTGGAAGATACCAAGTTCCTCCAACTTATTAATAAAATACCAATTTTATGTAAAAGAAAATCTCTAGTATCTCAGGGCATGGACCCATGGTAGACTATAATTTTTTTCTTTTGGTGAGACTCTTGTTTACAATAGTAAATGATTATCACAATGAAAAACACCTAATAAAATTTGTTATGCTTAAGAACACCAAATATGAGCTTGTAAAGAAATAATATTAGGATAACAAGTATAAGAAAAATTAATTTATACACGAAATTAAGAGTTAATCATCTATACACTGTCAGTGTAAAGTTTTTTTTACACTAGCAACCAATCATATCTTTTAATAGTGACATGTCAGTTGCTTATTTAATAAAATAATAATAAAATAAGCAACTTTAAAAGATATGATTGGTTGTCAGTGTAAAAAACTTTATACTGACAATGTAGGGATGATTAACTCCGAAATTAATCATCTCCCTAGTTATCAAGGTAAAGGCACAGGGAATTTCCATTTGAAAAATTCGACCAAATTTCTTTTTACTATAGGTCCATTGTGCAAAAGTATAAAAAATATAAATATGAATTATAGTTAGATTAATATGATGAAATTAGAAGTGATCTAAAATACTAAATTGAAATAATTGTGATGAATATAATAATCATGCATAAAACAAATTTTCTAACAATATAAATTATATTATTTATACATACTAAATGTGTAAACCAGTGCATTTATCAAATTCTTTCCCTAGTTAAAGACCTAATCCTAGTTGAATTCAGACTAGTTAAATTTATTAAACACCAATTAAAAATGCAACGTCAAGAAACAACTAGAAAATTAATTAAAGAGTGGAAGGGAATCAATTACCTTTTGACATTCCTTAATCTCTAACATTTTTAGCCGTGTAAGGAATAGGTAAACAATATCATCAATATTAACACAAGTCTCTAATCTTCCAACAGGTACAATAGGTATCTGATGAATACAAATGCATCTACCAACAAACACAGTTCAATATAATTTTAACTAACATATCCAATCTAAAACCAAACCCAACAACACAAAGCACCATCAAACCTAGACCGGTTATATGATCTCATATAAACTCAAATTTAAAGTTTATGTATATAATTAGTCTTGTTAACAACTAAATATTGAATCAGTTAACAACTTCTAAATAACAATAGAATACAACTTGAGGCACTAATATATATAATTCATTCATATGTTGTCCATTTTTGTCTTTGTGGTTGTATAATGATTGATATTTGATATTCATGGAGAACAACATTACAAAAAATAATGTATTAATATTACAAGTCAAAAGATTTCAACAGAGAAACCATTACAACATCAAGCACAATTAACTAATTTTGGTTTTTATGTTTCTTATTAGTCCAAATTACAATTTGGTGAATTTTCACAACATGAACTTCAAACTATAAAAACAATATTTAACGACATGTACGTGCACCTTGCGAGTTCTAATTAGGAGGAGAGATTAGATTTGGATGTGGTGAACACTGATTCATGAATATTCTCATTTCTCGCCCCAGAACGATATGGATGGAGGAACACTTTAAGACATTATGATAAGCCTACAAACTAAATGTCTTGGGCGAACTAGCTCACCTCTTGCCACGAGATCCTGGTCTAGATCTGGGACCATGAAACAGAGAAAACTAAAGTCACAATATGTTGAAATCAACTTTGTAACATGTGCCATCCAATCCCAATATGTTGGCAAATACAACGAAATTTGGATACATAATTATGTGAAAAATCATTAATCAAAGTTCCAATCTTATAAACCATTTAAAATTTGCCTAATATATAGAGATAAAGATTGTGAGATAATAACTATTCAACCCATATAGGTAAAAACTCAATTGAAAATTACCTGAGCTATGGAGTTAAAGTTTGAGGCATGAGAACTATCAAAACAATAGAGAGAAGAAAAAGGCATTGAAATAGCACAATCTATAAATATAAAAATTATGAATAAAATCAATCTTTATATATTAAATACGAGTTCTTATTTTACATGAGTATTTTTTACGAGTTTTTCCTTTGATAAGAAAGCTTATAGAATTTTTTTAAGTTCTTATTAAATTCAATTTTTATTTATCATAATTATTTATAAA